AATATAATAATAATAATAATAATAATATTAACAACAATAGATTGCATTTATATAGAGCGATATCTCATACCAGTATAAGCTGTGAGCGCTTTCCACCAATCACATAATCATTCACACAAGAGAAAATATTTCATAGAAACAAGAAAAACCAGTTCCACCACATAAAGAAGAACTTTCACAACCATACATTAACTATAAACGAAAGGACAGCGGTAAAAAACAAAACATATCAGCACTTACTAACACACTGTAACTAAGAACTACACAAATGAGTCTTGAGCAATTGCTTAAACATCTCAAAATTAGTTATTTTTCTGAGATCCTGGGGCAAGGTGTTCCAGATTTTAGGGGCAAACATGAGAAACTTTTCTCACCAAAATATCGTAATTTCATTCTAGGGGCTCTGAATTTTGTTACATCTGTGGATGACCGTAACTGACGAGATGGAACATACAGTGTTAAAAGCTCAGATAGATATGATGGGGCTTTATCGTTAAGACATTTATTACAGATGATAGAAACTTTATACTGAATTCTTTTATCAACTGGAAGCAAATGCAGAGCTTTTAGCATTTTTGATGCAGGATCTTTCTTTCTTTTCTTCAGCACTCGCCTTGCGGTGTTATTTTGGGACACTTGCAATTTCATGGAATAGATTACACAGAAGCTAAACAAATGAGAAACAATGAAATAATGAGGAGTTCACATTTCCGGACTACCAGAAGGCCGGCCACCTACAAAATAAACGTTTCCACTTTTTTTTTTTTTTGTAAGAGTTACGGCACTCGCAACACAATAAGGTCATATAAGTGCTGAAGAATAGATGTGCCACAAGAGAGTAACAAACACAAAAAAGAAGTAGGGGAGATAAAGACGATAGATGCTTGATAGGAAAGAATCAGCAAACCACACCAGAGCACCTGCCAACCACCCCTCCCAACAGCTGATAGTACACGGTGTGCTCACCACTTTGGCTTCGGCGATGGCCTGGTTGATGATGTACTGGTTGCAGACCACCAGCTTCTTCATAAAGTTGAAGTACTCCACGGAGAACTGACTCTTCTCGTGCATGAAGCGGATGTTGCCGCGCCGGACCACCTTCTCGATGGCCTGGGGCATCTTCACCGATGGCGTGGAATTGCCTGGCACACACACACACACACACGCGGGAAAACGGGACAATGAGACACATCACTATCGGCACTCATTAGGCTTTTATAACAAAAATAAACTAAAAACAAATGAATATTGTGAAGCTTAAAACAAACAGATTTGTTTGTTTTAGAAAGTGTTTTACGGCACTTGCAACACAATAAGGTCATATAAGTGCAAAAGATTAGAGGTGTTAAAAGAGAGTAACAAACACAAAAAAAGAAGGAGGGGAGATCAGGACGATAGACGTTTGGTAGGAAAGAAGGAAAGAAGGAGCAATCTGCACTTGTTGGGCTTTTATAACAGAAACAGAAACTCAAAACAAATTAACATAGTCAAGCTTAAAATAAACAAATTAACTAATGGAAGAGTCTATTTTCAGGAGCCAGTTCCACCACAGCTATACTTCCAAAAGAACAGTTGTTGAACATAAAAATATTGAAAAAAGTGAAAGACCATACCAGATTCTCTATTTTTAGTTTTAGTAAAAGTTTTACGGCACTTGCAACACAATAGGGTCATATAAGTGCCGAAGATTAGAGATGTTATAAGAGAGTAACAAACATAAAGAAGAAGGAGGGAAGATAAAGACGGGCGATGTTTGATAAGAAAGAAGAAGCAAACCACACCAGAGTGCCCGCCAACCACCCACGTGACATACATGAGGACGAGACACATCACTATCAGCATTTTGTTGGGCTTTCATAACAAAAATAAACTCAAAACAAATCAACATTGCAAAGCTTATAACCAAAAAATTGGTTGCACTCGCAACTAAACAAGGTCATATGAGCGCCAGAAGATTAGACGTGTTACAAGAGAGTAACAAACATAAAAAAAGAAGAAAGGGGGATAAGGATGATAGATGTTTCATAGGAAAGAAGAAGCAAACCACACCAGAGCACCCGCCAAACACCCACTTTGATATCTTTGCCGACACACACACATACACACACACACACACACACAAAAACAACTCACTTAATGAAAGACTTTTGATATCTTTGCTGAGCTCCTCCTCCGAGACCTCGTCTATTCTCTCGTAGAACAGGATGTAGGCGTTCCACCACCTCTTCTGTCGCCGGATGGCCGAGCTGTGGGGAACAAAACACGACAGTCAGTAACGCTATAACACTACACCGATTTCTTTCATTTATGTGGGGAACAAAACACGCCCATCAGCAACACTATAACACTGCACTGATTTCTTTCATTTATGTGGGGAACAAAACACGCCCATCAGCAACACTATAACACTGCACTGATTTCTTTCATTTATGTGGGGAACAAAACACGCCCATCAGCAACACTATAACACTGCACTGATTTCTTTCATTTATGTGGGAAAAACAAAACACGCCCATCAGCAACACTATAACACTGCACTGATTTCTTTCATTTATGTGGGGAACAAAACACGCCCATCAGCAACACTATAACACTGCACTAATTTCTTTCATTTATGTGGGAAAAACAAAATACGCCAATCAGCAACACTATAACACTGCACTGATTTCTTTCATTTATGTGGGAAAACACGCCCATCAGCAACACTATAACACTGCACTGATTTCTTTCATTTATGTGGGAAAACACGCCCATCAGCAACACTATAACATTACACCGATTTCTTTCATTTATGTGGGAAAACACGCACAGACACACATGTGCGTACAACATCTAAATGTCCTTAGCCACAACAATATGATCAGCGAGCCAAACTTCCACCACATGATGTAAAGGCCGTACGTACCGTTTCAACATGGGGTCATAGACTACACAAGGTCAAGGCCATATGTACCGTTTCAACATGGGGTCTTAGACAACACAAGGTCAAGGCTGTACGTACCGTTTCAACATGGGGTCATAGACTACACAAGGTCACGGCCCTACATACCGTTTCAACATGGGGTCATAGACTACACAAGGTCAAGGCTGTACGTACCGTTTCAACATGGGGTCATAGACTACACAAGGTCACGGCCCTACATACCGTTTCAACATGGGGTCATAGACTACACAAGGTCAAGGCGGTACGTACCGTTTCAACATGGGGTCATAGACTACACAAGGTGAAGGGCGTACATACCGTTTCAACATTGGGTCATAGACTACAAAAGGTGAAGGGCGTACATACCGTTTCAACATGGGGTCATAGACTACTCAAGGTCAAGGCCGTACGTACCGTTTCAACATGGGGTCATAGACTACACAAGGTGAAGGGCGTACGTACCGTTTCAACATGGGGTCATAGACTACACAAGGTCAAGGCGGTACGTACCATGTCAACATGGGGTCATAGACTACACAAGGTCAAGGCGGTACGTACCATGTCAACATGGGGTCATAGACTACACAAGGTCAAGGCCGTACGTACCGTTTCAACATGGGGTCATAGACTACACAAGGTCACCGCCGTACGTACCGTTTCAACATGGGGTCATAGACTACACAAGGTCAAGGCCGTACGAACCGTTTCAACATGGGGTCATAGACTACACAAGGTCAAGGCCGTACGTACCGTTTCAACATGGGGTCATAGACCTCCCCCAGGTACTCCCCACCGAAGCACTGGTTCTTCATCTCCTCCTCGTCCTCCATCTTGCAGTCGGTCACATCACCGTCGTCAAACTTGTACCACTTGGGGCTCGGCTCGTTTGGACCTCTGAGAACACACACACACACACAGAGGTTTTTCAATTACGACATTTCATCAGAAGAAGAAAAAGAAGAAGAAGAAAAAGAAGAGGAAGAGGAGGAAGAGGAGGAGGAGGAGGAGGAGGAGGAGGAGGAGGAGGAGGAGGAGGAGGAGAAGAAGAAAAAGAACAACAACCATTATTATACTTCTGACGTGGACAACTCAGCATTCCTTGAGCTTATTGAACATCTCAAGTTGTGTGTGTGTGTGTGAGACAGAGAGAGAGAGAGAGAGAGAGAGGGAGAGGGAGAGAGAGAGAGAGAGAGAGGGAGAGAGAGAGAGAGAGAGAGAGAGAGAGAGAGAGAGAGAGAGAGAGAGAGAGAGAGAGAGAGAGAGAGAGAGAGAGAGAGAGAGAGAGAGAGAGAGATGTGCCTGCCACCACCTACCTGTGCAGAATGTAAGAGTAGTAGTGTCCCCCGCTGGCCTGTCCACTGTGCACTAGCACGCCCACCAGGCGGTACTTGGTGCTCTGAGCCGCGTCAAACTCGTCGATGATCTCCCCTGAAAAGTTTAGTTTTGTTTTAGTAAGGTTTGACGGCGCTCTCAACTGCATATGGTCATATGAGCGCAAAGGGGTGGATGTCAACAGAGAAGTTCAAAAGGGGAATCAGGCTTACCCTGTTCACCTCTCTAGCCTCAACAGCACATAGTCTGCTTCCACTATCAAGGCAGCCCGGAAATAGCAGTTCACAAGAGAGTGACAAACATACAAAAGAAGTAGAGGAAAATGACGAAAGTAAGGATGAGGAAAGAAAAAAATTAGGAAAGAAAAAGCAGCAGTTCCCCCAATGTTGTTCCGACACAGTATGAAAATGACATTGATAAATGAGCCCGTATACAATTGTACTGTGCAAAAGAACATGTGAATATCCCCCCTTTGGGAATGGCCTGAAGACAACTTCAGTCAGTAGCACTGCCCCAAGGGGGCTTTCCCTGAAAGGATCATGAACAGATTGAAGACAAAAGACATTAAACAAAGGGAATCACATATCCACTGGAACTCTTCCAAAACTCTACCACTGAATATTTCAACACTACAGCCCTTAGACATATCTAAATGAAAATGACATAAAAGTGTTGGTTAAACAACTTAAAATAAATGTAGCATGAAATTCCCTGGCTAAATATGAAAAAACCCACAAAAAAACAATATTCCAAACTAAGATGTCAAATTGAACATAAATCCTACACTGTACTTTCAACAGAATTAGAACAGCCCAAAACTAGCCACTGGGACTGACCTTCCAGTTTGGCCAAGCCCTGCACTGTGTATGGCTCCATGTTCAACTCCCGCGGAAACTCAAAGTAGTCGTTGAATTTGATTGCACACTCCCTGTGGAAAGTTCAGTTTTAGTAACAGTTTTACAGCACTTGCAACACTATACTCCCTGTGAAAAAAATTGTGGTAAAATGAATATATATACCTTTCAACAATACAAAGCTCCTTACACGCTTCTCAGTAGAATCAAAATGGCCAAAATACATGGTACAGGGATGCCACTGGTATTAAGTGAAAATACCTGAAAATTTGCAAAGTTGTATTTGAGGGGAAAACGAAAAGTTACAAGATATAATTAAACCAACAAAAAAAAACCCCAACAATTATGCAGACAAGAACAACTGTTCTTCAAGTGAAACTAACAGAAATAACAGGGAAACACAGAAAAACGGCACCCCTGATGGAAGGCTGTTCCTGTGAACGGATCTAGGTTTGTACGAAGGAGTTCGAACTCAAAGACATATCTGCAGTCAGAGAGTCTCACGACTTCGAGCGGTACACTGTCCCTACTGAGTCACCAGATCCCACACACTGGAGGCACGCGTGGGACGAGGGAGACACTAAGGAGACACATATATCATACAGAAACACTCCTAACTGAGCGTGGGAAACTACACACACATTCATGTAATGGATAGCAAAACAGAAGCTAAACAAATGAGAAACAATGAAATAATGGGGAATTTTACCACTAGAAAAGTCATGCTCACCAAAGAAAACAACACAAGCATAACATTTGTAACAGTAAAAAAAAACTTTACATTTCGGCATGAGAGATCTGGTAGTGATAATGTGATCCACTAATGACAATAATGTCCATTTCCACTTCCGTCAATTTCCCCAAAACAAGACAAGTTATAAGTTCTTGTGGTCTTCCACGTTGTATCTACACTGTGTGAGGCTGGAACCCTCTTTTCCGTTTTGCAAAAATTCTTCTTGAAAACTCGAACAACTTAGCCCTTTTCGGTTGAACAAACAAAATGTTGATTTTCTTCCAGAAGGTAAAAGTAGACACAATCATTTCCGCCTTTTCCGGATACGTCAACATGGTTATAGAGTTTTTTGATTAAGCAAATTAAGCACTCATTTTTTTCATTGCGAAGAACACTTTGGTCATCCTTTAGCTTCCATTGTCAGTCTGTAACGTGTAATTTCCCTACAAAATGTCACAATTTCTATTCCAAAAACCCTTGATCGACACACAGGACTCTTACCGTTCCCAGTCATAGTCAAAGCGTTTCAGCTGAATGGCTAGAATTTTGGGTAGCTTTCTTATCACAAGTCGCTTCACAGTATCAACCTGGGGGAAAGAGAGAGAAAAATCACATGAAAGATAAATGACCTTTATCTAAAAAGAGAGACAGAGAGAGAGAGAGAGAGAGACAGAGAGAGAGAGAGCGGGGAAGTCTTAAAAATGACAAAACAGGAGACCTCCAAAGAATCAGTTACGTTTAGTTTTAGTAGAGGTTTTACGGCACTCGCAAGTGCATAAGGTCATATGAGCGCCAGAAGATTAGAGGTGTTACAAGAAAGTAACAAACATAAAAAAGAAGAAGGGGAGATACGGACGATAGATGACTGATAGGAAAGAAGAAGCAAACCACACCAAAGCACCCGCCAACCACCCACTGTCATACTTTTACCTTTTAATTACATTTTTCACAATGGTAGGCGTTCTTTCTCTCCTTTACCTTTTTATTACATTTTTCACAATGGTAGGCGTTCTCTCCCTCCAGCAAGTCCCCCTTGACGTACTGCTCCAGGGACTCAAACAGGTTGGCGTGGTTACGGATGTCCACGTTGAGGGTGGTGAAGGCTTCCTCCCGCTGGTACCTGACGAGTACATAATACACAGTTAGTTGTTGGGAGGGAGAGAGGGAGCATTGGCATGGCACAGTCATTTGGTGAGTACAGCCCACACAGTTAGTTGTTGGGGAAGGCAGAGAGAGACTACTGGCAGGGCAGTCATTTGGTGTATGGAAAAAGCAAAGACATACAGACAGTGGAATCTGTCAATTTTCCGGCATAAGGAGTTTTTGGTATCATCTTTAAAATTTGTTAATTTATCTTGCTTTGAAAGGAAAAAAAATACCAGTCTGACTTGAAAAGAAGTTGAGATATTTGCGATTTAAAGAGATGGGGGTGTCACCTGGTGTCAGGGGTAACATTAGCGAGAAAATGGCCACCAAATTTACGTGACAGGATCAGCGAGTGTTTCTCACCTGTGCGGGCAGTCTTTACAGATCTTCTGGTCGGCAAACGACCCGCCCATGACCTGTGCCAGGATGCTGGGCTGGTCCAGAACCTTGAGCGCCTCGTCCAGGCTGTCCACCAGGCTGTTGAAGAACTCGAGGGCGTCGTGCTGTTCTCGCAGGTTCACCGGCTCTCCCCACAACCTGGGGGGGGGGGGGGGGGGGGGGGGGGGGGGGACACAACATGGGTTTACTTTGGTTTTAGTAGAGGTTTTACGACGCTCACAACTGCACAAGGTCATTTTATTCGTTTTCGTAAGAGTTTTACGGCACTTGCAACACAATAAGATCATATAAGTGCTGAAGATAAGGTGTGTTACAAGGGAGTAATAAACACAAAAAAGAAGGAGGGAAGATAAATACAATAGATGTTTGATAGGAAAGAAGAAGCAAACCACACCAGAGCACCCGCCAACAACCCATTAGCCTGGCGCTGTGAGGGTTTAGTATCCCAGGATAAGACAACTGTGTGACAAAACAGAACAACACAACTCTGTAACAAGACAGAACAACACAACTCTGTGACAAGACAGAACAACACAACTCTGTGACAAGACAGAACAACATAACTCTGTGACAAGACAGAACAACAGAACTGTGACAAGACAGAACAACATAACTCTGTGACAAGACAGAACAACAGAACTGTGACAAGACAGAACGACAAAATTCAGTGACAAGACTTACTTGAAATGTTTCCAGAAGCCGCGGGGCACAAAGTACTGCAGCTTGCTGGCTGCCAGATGACCAAAGATGACCTGTATCTGCCGCAGCACGCCCATGTTGTACGCCTTGCGCTCGTCGTCTTTGGACTGGACGCGACCTGAATCATCGTCTTTGCTCGAGTCCTCCTCCTGGGAAGCCAACACACAGAACAAACAGTCAAAACTTAAGTTTTTAGTTTTGGTAAGAGTTTTACGGCACTTGCATGCAACACAATAAGGTCATATAAGTGCCGAAGATTAGAGGAGTCACAAGAGAGTAACAAACACAAAAAAGGAGGGGAGTTCAGGACGACAGATTTTTTACAGGAAAGAAGGAGCAAACCACACCACAGCACCCGCCAACCACCCACAAAGTCAAAACTCTGCAGAGCAACTTCTTAACACTTTGCCGCCTCATCTCGTCCATTGGCCATGTTTACCACCCAGTTTCTTTGGATTTTCCCCAAAATGTGATGGCAAAATGTTAAAGTGTAAAACCTACAATAAAAGTAGCAAGAGTCTGGCATGCATGACATTTGTGGTCGCGTTTAGTTACATCCACCCTCATTGACACACATTTCTTTGTTCACTGTGTATGAATTGTTTGTGCCACGTGCGTGTTTTGAATAACAACATCATCATCCAGGGCCAGATCTGCGACAGACATCGGCAATCATGGTTCTCCATTCATTCCTTTGCTCGGATGCTCTTAAAAAAGCTACGTTTCCAACCTACTTCACTAGACAGTTGTGGATCAGCCAAGTACTCCGTGCCGACAAGAAAAACAACAACATTCTGTCACAAAACGACCTACAGGGCAAAAGTAACATCGAAAAATGAATTAGCAAAGAAAGAAAGACTTAAAAAGTAAAAGAATAAGCAAAGAAAGAAAGACTTAAGAAGTAAAAGAATAAGCAAAGAAAGAAAGACTTAAGAAGTAAAAGAAGAGGAAAAAACAAGTAGCAGGGCATGGCAGATGATCCCTCCATCAAACAAGACTCACCATAGGATTGTCCTTGTCGCTGTTCCCAGAGTTGCTCTCCTTCTCAATCAGCAGCATCTCCTCCTCCACATTGTCCGCCGCTCCCTCCACCGCCAGGATGCCCATGCGTACAGGCTCGATCATAAACAACTGTACGAGGGGGAGGGGGAGAAAAAAACATTGTAGCACATAAGATACGGTAAGCTATACTTTGAACCATGGAATAACATCAACAGGAGGCTAGTAAAGGATAGAGAAAGGTGGAAAGTGTTTGTCCGTGGCCTATACCTTTTAGCGTTAGTAAGAGTTTTACGGCACTTGCAACACAATAAGGTCATATAAGTGCCGAAGATTTAGAGGTGTTACAAGAGAGTAACAAAGGTGTTACAAGAGAGTAACAAAGGTGTTACAAGAGAGTAACAAAGGTGTTACAAGAGAGTAACAAAGGTGTTACAAGAGAGTAACAAAGGTGTTACAAGAGAGTAACAAAGGTGTTACAAGAGAGTAACAAAGGTGTTACAAGAGAGTAACAAAGGTGTTACAAGAGAGTAACAAAGGTGTTACAAGAGAGTAACAAACGCAAAAAAGAAGAAGGAGGGAAAAGGACGACAGATGTTTGATAGGAAAGAACGAGCAAACCACACCAGAGCACCCGCCAACCACCCACCAATCTATATTATTACTCCAGCAGTTCTGACACAAGGAAACAACAAGAAACCCATTTAGCCGAACGACAACAGGGCAAAACTAAGGACACGTCTAACCACAGACAAGTGAGCAAACAAGCACACACGACCAGACAGACCAACGTCCCAACAGGACACAGCCCCCCACTCACCTGCTGTAGCACAGAGTTCATGTAGCAGGTAGCACCGGCGTTCTTCAGACCCACAAAGCCTCGGCTCGGCCGCGGCCCCACCAGTGGCACGTACTCCCAGTCCATCACCGCTTGATTGTCTGACCGCGGGGGGGAAAGAAAAAAGAAAAGATGAAACAACAATACACTGATAAAGTTGTTTTAGTAAGAGTTTTACGGTACTTGCAAAACAATAAGGTCATATAAGTATATAAGTGCTGAAGATTAGGTGTTACAAGAGAGTAACAAACATAAAAAAGAAGAGGGAGAGATAAAAGACGATAGATGTTTGATAGGAAAGAAGGAGCCAACAACGCCAGAGCACCCACCAACCTTGTGTTGCAAATGCCGTAAAACACTTACGAAAACAAAAGAGAAACTGAACATGGGAGAGAGTGACAAGAGACAGGTTAGCCTGAAAATTCTGTTGTTAGAGAACAGATAGGCGGAAAAATTCATGGTAAATTCATGCGGCCTGAAGGACGGGGTACACTTCTCAATTTTCCAGGGGCATGTTACTACATAACAATGACAGCACGTGCTCCATTCAAATATATATAACACACACACACAAGTACGTAGCCAACAGACCTGTGTAGTACATGTCTGAGAGAGAGAGAGAGTACTTAGAAAACAGGCCTGTGTAGTACGAGAGAGAGAGAGCGAGAGAGAGCGAGAGAGAGACAGAGAGAGAGAGAGAGACAGAGAGAGAGAGAGAGAGAGAGAGAGAGAGAGAGAGAGAGAGAGAGAGAGAGAGGGAGAGAGAGAGAGAGAGGAACAGACCTGTGTAGTACATGTCTATGATCATGAGTGACAGGAACTGCAGGTTGTGCACACAGTCCATGCACAGGGCCACCAGGAGGTCGTAGGCCGCCACCACCGTGTGGGGACTCGAACACACGGGCACCGCCTGCTCTGCCGGGAACTCCGCCTCCTTTTTGCGACACTGGGTCACCAGCTTGGAGGCTGGGAAGATGAAGTCCTCCACCAGGATCTGGGAATGGAGAAATACATTCACATCTATAAATAGAGAAACACGAGTCCGTTTATAAATAGAGAAACACAAGTCCGTTCATAAATAGAGAAACACAAGTCCGTTTATAAATAGAGAAATACAAGAGACAGACATAAAGAGAGAGGGAGAGATATAGAGATAGGAAAAAAAAGAGACAGAGAGATAGTGTAGCCAACTAACAACATGAAAACATTTTTTAAAACCTTTACTGTTCTGATCCAAGAATAAATTTTTTTTAAAGGAAGCCTACATACCCTGATGAGTTCGGCTCCCCCGTTCTTGCAGCCAATCTGGTGCTTGCGCTCCGAGGTCTGGAAGGCCAACAACTCTTTGGTGATGCACATCCGGCCCTCCAGGAGGGCGTCTTCCACCAGGGTCTCCCCACACTTCAGGCACTGGTTCTGGAGACACACAGATGGCACACCGCATTAGCCTCAGTTTTAGTTTTAGTAAGAATTTTACTGCACTTACAACATAGTAAGGTCATATAAATGCCGAAGATTTAGTTTTAGTAAGAGTTTTACAGCACTTACAACACAGTAAGGTTACATAAGTGCCGAAGATTAGAGGTGTTACAAGACAGTAACAAACACAAAAAAGGAGGGGAGATAAAGACGATAGATGTTTGATAGGGAAGAAGGAGCAAACCACACCAGAGCACCCACCAGCCACCCACACAAACTTCAACAACAAAAGCCGAAGTACATATGTCATGTTCATAACCATAAGAGAAAAGAAACCTCCATTTCCCCCCTCATCTTCCCTCCATCCCTCCCTCCTTCTGCCTTTCTAGAACCCCACCTCTTGCACTCTTAACTTTCAGCACTCTTAACTTTCAACAAGAGATTTTTTCAAGTAAACAGATTCAAAGAAGACAATATAATTATCAATATCATTACTGCTTGCAACAAATCAACCCTTCCCTGTCATTTAAAAGAAAAATACTTCCGCACTTACCCGCACTTCCATGAGCCAGGTGATTTCATTGTTGAGCTGAGGTTCTACGGTCATCAGCCCCTCCTTGGACGCATGGTTCAGCAACCTGATCAACACGACAGAACCCATGAGCCATTTACTTACTGCATCCCTTTTGTACAATTCACAGACAGAATGTTTGAAAGGCAGAAAAAGAAACACTGTAACAAAAAGGAAAGATTTAAAAAAAAGAAAAACAAGAGAAGGATAAAAAATCAAAACTGCCCAACCCATAATAACCTGAAATAGAATTTGCCCCCCCCCCCCATAATAACCTGAAATAGAATTTGCCCCCCCCCCCCCCCAATTTAACCTGTAAATTGATAGGCGTTAGGATTTGTTTGGATAGAGGAGAAGAATACTGCAGAAGCCGCCCCCCGTCAAAAAAACCTATTATCAAGGTCAGTTCACCCCCCCCGCGATGGTGCTGCCACGTCCTTGTAATAAATGGACAGCTGCAAATTAAACGACAAACAAGCCAAGCCTGTGGTGAACTTTCATTCATTGAAGCATATTTTCCAGTCTCTAGAAGTTACTCCAATGCTGTAAACAATCTGCTCTTGCGTGGCAGGCGCCAACATGTGTCATTTCCACTGGTTCTCACCAACAGTGATAAGGTTCTATCAAAAGGCAAAACTTAAATCACGAGACAAACCGGATTTTTTGGTGGGAAAATACAAAAATACACTCAGACGAAAAGAAAAAAATGAGAGAGAAGAAAAATAGCAAACGTCAACAGCATGTCTGTGCATTAGTAGCCACACTTCACTAGGACCATGAATAAAAGGAAACAAAGGCAAAGCTGAACACAACTGGGCACCCACCAACCACCCGTAACATAACATGAAGGTAGGGGCTATTAGAAAGAACTATGAATTCAAACTAAAACTTGTAACAATGAGCTCAAACGACAGCTGGAACAAACTACAAACAACGCGTCTAAACCAACGGCCAAACTTACTTGCACAGCAGGGTAAAGTACTCGTGGGACTGTCTCGCATTTTCTTTCACCGTGTTCTGAAACACAAAACACATTTTTTTTTTTTTAAATCATCAAAACAGAATCACACAAAAATGACCCATCAGCCAGAGAAAAATTTTTTTTAATCCTGCCACCCATGGTACAGTATGGCAACAGAATGGGTCTAAAATCTGTAAATACCAGAAAAATCTTCTAATTAGTTATAGTAAGCTTTACAGCACTTGCAACACAATAAGGTCATATAAGTGCCAAAGATTAGAAGTGTTTCAAGGGAGTAACAAACACAAAAAAGAAGACGACATAAGGACAAAAGATGTTTGACAGGAGCAAACCACACAAGAGCATCCACCAACCACCCACTAGAAAAATCTGTAGAAATAAGCACTCTTGGCCATTATTAAAGCAGCATCAGCGGAACTACTAACAAATCCCCAAGCCACACAAAGAGAAGACCCACAGAGCACCAAGGACGGAACAGTTACCTCCAGTTTGGTGAAGAGCAGGGTGACCAGCCACTTGATGTTGCGAGGGTTCACGCTACAGCGAGAAAACATCTGGAAAAACTGCTCCGAGGCACAGGTTCGTATACTTCGGCTGGGGACAGAAAAACGTGTCGCAGGTGAACAAACATTCCTCCCTTCCACACCAGCATTTTGTTCTGTTGTCAGTTAATGAAAGGGGAAAGAAATCAAACGTGCTGTGACAGCCAGTTCAAGAGGACTTCCATAACGAGCGACCACTATGAGACCGAGTAGAATAGAGGGCCAGGGGTAGGGGTAGGGTTAAGGTTAGGGTTTGGGTTAGGTCTCTTCTTTATGGTGTTTGTTTGGGTGGTCACTCGTTACGGAAGTCTTTCCACCAGTTCAATTATTTTTTTAAAGGGATCAGCCCATTTACAATTCTAGTGTGCATAAGAACATTTTAATATCCCCCCCTTGGGGAATGGCCTAAAGACAACTTCAGTCAGTAGCACTGCCCTGGGGGGAGGGGGGGAGATAACTCTAAGCTTATGACATACAATCTCCCTACAACGCAACACGACCTCCCCACACCGCCTCACCTTGTCCGACAGAGCAGAAGTAGGTCAATGATGAAGTCCTTCCAGGCGTTCTCTTTGTCCAGAGCGTCCAGCGTCGGGGGACTGAGGGCCACGCACACTGTCAGGTTCTCCAGACCTTCCCTGGCCACGAGGATGTCCTCGCAGTCTGACGGCACCGCCTCCTTGGGCTGAAACAGTCACGCGGAGAGATGTTGAGTTTTAGTAACAGTTTTTGTTTTGTTTTTTAAGTAAGTGTTTTACAGCACTTGCAACACAATAAGGTCATATAAGTCCCAAAGATTAAAGGTGTTACAAGAGAGTAACAAACACAAAAAAGAAGGAGGAGAGATAAGGACGATAGATGTTTGATAGGAAAGAAGAAGCAAGCCACACCAGAGCACCCGCCAACCACCCCCAGTCTATAACTTCAAAAGCACTGACTGGAATACACACAAATATATACTGGAATATATATCTACGTCTGCTAAATAAACATGTCAAAGTTGAATGCCATCCCACTGATTATATCAAAGTTATGGGAGGCTAAAAGTACAACTGCAGAAGTGTGAACTATTCTATCTGTAAGCAGCACAAAGTGCAGTAAGAGGTGTGAGCGGTGAGAGACGTACCTTGTCGAAGGTGCCGTGGATGTCGTCGTAGGAGGCGTGGAGCAGGTGGAAGCAGCAGGCGCTGGCTGACCAAGCGATCTTCATGATGGACTTGACTGTGTTCAGGTCGGGGCTCACACCCACAGCCTGGACGAACGACACAGGGGCACACAGTATAGCAACAGTTTAGTTTTTTAGAGTTTTAGTAAGAGTTTTACGGCACTTGCAACACATTAAGGTCATATAAGTGAGCAAAACACATATCCCTCACCCTGAACAATTGTAGTAGTATCATCATTTATTCTGAATATTCAGAACTTAGAAAAACATCAAAAAGTCTACCAAAAGACATAGAGAGATAAATTGTAATGGTATTGTCATTTATTTCAGTTATTTAGAACTCGGGAAAAAATATCAAAGCGTCAAACAAAATACATAAATAAATAGATCTTAAAAAAAAACCAAAAACGGTGGTTGGCGTGGCGTAGCGTACCTGCTCCCCAAGTTGTCCCCCTAGTCGCGAGGCCACGTGCCTCATGCTGAACTCCGACTCGGGGATGGGGATGTGTAGCAGGACCTGCTGCAGCGCCACCGCCTCCTCGTGCTCCCTGGCCGACACGGGGCTCTCTGAGTTACACGCCTCCACCACGATCTGGATGCGCGCGTAGCCTAGTACCGTCAGCATCATCTTGCTCATTTTCAGCACTGTGTGGTAGGCGGCTCTGAGGGGTACATGAAATAACAGTTGTAGAACATGGAAGTGACATTTAACTACCGACTGCTACAAGACTGTGGCGAAATACATCTGTTTAGTTTTAGTAACAGTTTTACTGCACTTGCAACACAATAAGGTCATATAAGTGCCGAAGATTAAGTTTAAGTTTTAGTAGAGGTTTTACGGCGCTCGCAACTGCATACGGTCATATGAGCGCCAGAAGATTAGAGGTGTTACAAGAGAGTAACAAACATAAAAAAGAAGAAGGAGAGATAAGGACGACAGATGTTTGATAGGAAAGAAGAAGCAGACCACACCAGAGCAAGGGGGCTCTCGTGGCCTAGAGGTTAAGGTGTTGGCCTCTCATTCAAAGGTCCCGGGTTCGATTCCGGGTAGCGACCAAAAATTTTCTTCTCTAAAATTGTCTCCTTTCCCATCCTTTCCTGATCTCTAACAATGTTCTGTTGTCTGCTTTCATTTCCACTTTCTGCCCCACCCCCTCACCTCCTTTGCCCCCTCCTCTGGGCTCCTGGCTCTTTCTGCAGCCTTTCTACTGCTACTCCTTGGCTCCTCCTAACTGCTGTCTTTCTGCCACACCCCTGATCTTCTGGTAGGAAAGATCTACACCTAGCCTTCTCGGACAAGGGCGAAAAATCTCGGAGGGCCCGTGTGCAAGTTGCGCACGTTAAAGATCCCTTGGTGGTCTAAAATCGACAAGAGTAGGCTTCGGCCGCCACCCGGGCAAAATTCCAAATTTCCTACCAACTGAAAAATATTAGGTGTGTCCCGCGCGCTCATATGACCTTTGCAGTTGCGAGCGCCGTAAAACCCTATACTAAACAAACAAACAAACACCAGAGCACCTGCCAACCACCCGCTCCGAAGATTAAAGGTGTTACAAGAGAGTAATTAACACAAAATAGAAGGAGGGGAGATAAGGATGATAGATGTTTGATAGGAAAGAAGGAGCAAACCACACCAGAGCACCCGTCAACCACCCACAACTGTAATGTTTTTGTAGAAGGCGTATACGTAACAAGCAGTTAAAAAAATATAAGACGTTTAAAAAGAAAGAAAGAAAAAAAAAGAAAAAGCAGTTGACTTACTTTCTGGAAGGCAGGTCTGCACTGGGCATGAAGTTGTTCTTGGTGAGCATGTTGATGGCCAGCTGTATGCCGCCGCTGAGCACAAAGTTACACTGGAACTCAAACGCTTCCTCGCACATGGGGTCCAGGCTGGGCATCAACAAGGCATAGCACACCTGGGGGGGGGGGGGGGGGCACAAATGAGTGTGAATCAGCACCGATATATCATCGTCCAAAAATACTGCTACTTCTGACATTCCCGTCCAAATAAAAGGGGATCTTTATGGAATGGCTCCTCTTTATTCCTCCTCAGTAGTTTTCTTTAGACACCAGTCTTAGCAAACTTAATCAAATGGAGTGACATAAAACGAACACTGAACAAATAACACCACCACGGAAAAAGATGAGAACTCACCTCAATGTTGTAGAGAGTCTGGGTGGTGGAGCTGTTGAAAAACATGGCCTCTAACGCCGCGGACATTCCACGCTCCGCGTTGGCCCCGTCGGCGCAGATGTCGGAGAACTTCTTCACCGTGTGGGCGTCTGGGGGGGGAGGCAACAGACAGTTGTTAGTTTTAGTTTCACGGCACTAGCAACACAAAAAGGGACACCAGCTCTAGGACATAAGACACCATTGTTGTAACAATATTTGGCATCTATGACTTGTACATCCCTGCCTAAAAACAGGTTTCATGCGCTTTACAACGAATCATCACCCTGACGTACTTTACAACATTTAAAAACATTCTCAGCTCCATGGGAGGCAAGCTGCCATTTGACAACGGCTCGTACACCGACATACTGACAGAATCTTTCACTGTCAGAGCGAAGCAACCGTTCCCAGCAGTGTGAAGTAAGAAAAACTCCTGCCCTTATGGTTGGCAGTGCAGGCTATCCACTAGACTGTCTATGCCACTAAAAAGTGCATAACAGTTTTTTAAAACATAAACACAGACCTGCCACTCTATAAAATCTAAAAAAATCAGGATCTCAGGGGGGAAAAAATCAGGATTTGGAGACAAAAATCGGGATCGACGATATATCACCAAGGTGAATGCCAAACTGACTAAAAATTTTCTTGGGGTGACCATAAATATATCCATGTATACGCCGTCTGTGGGTGTGTGTGTGTCTGTGTGTCTGTGTTTGTGTGTGTATGTGCGTCTGTGTGTCTGTGTTTGTGTGTGTATGTGCGTCTGTGTTTGTGTGTGTATATGTGTGCGTGCGCGCACATGTGTGTGTGTGTGTGAGCGTGCGCATGTGTGCATGTGTGTGACCCACCTGCAGGCATAATCTTGAGCACGGCCCTGGCTGTGTCCCTGAGTCGAGGCTCCTGTAGCTGACAGCCCAGGTCGGACAGGTGGAACAGGAACTGGCTGTACTGGGCCTTCTGGGACATCAGCTGGAGTCACCGGGGAGGGGGAGAGGGGGAGAGAGCATGTTAGTTTTAGTAAGAGTTTTACGGCACTTGCAACACAATAAGGTCATAGAAGTGCCGAAGATTAGAGGTGTTACAAGAAAGTAACAAACACAAAAAAAGAAGGAGGAGAGATCAGGACGATAGATGTTTGATAGGAAAGAAGGAGAAAACCACACCAGAGCACCCGCCAAACACCAATGGAGAGAGCATGAATCAAACAGTAGCCAAATAGTTTGGAAACATGGCTTATACAGCAGTCATAATCGAGTCAACTAAAGTTTAGAGGAAATCTCATTATTTAAATACAGCCAAAATCTCTGCAACCTGGTGGACAGCCGCTAAGACTAGATAGAAGAAGTTAAATCGTCTTTATCTCTCCTCCTTTTTTTTTTTAGTTACTCTTTAGCAACACCTCTTGTCTAATAATAAATAAATCTCTAATAATAATAAAAAATAAATAAATAGCATTTGTATAGCGCATACCCCCGCTCTACAGCAAGCTCTATGCACTATATACTATATTATTACCCTAGCAGACCATAGAACGCTCAGAAACATTCTCAGCTTCCCGGGGGGAGCATACATACAGTGCATGCAGCTAATTGGTCGCTTTTAAGGACAAGCGGGCCAACCCAGATTTCAGGGGTTTCTTGAAATCTTGACCTACACCAAAAGTGGGCATCGCCCTACCTATAGGAGAAGTTTGGTTTCATTGGTGTGTATATTTGTTTGGTTATAGAGAAAACTCTCCCTGTCTGTTAATGAAACTGAACAAGGGGCACACACTTTACCTTCAATTTTCCCAAAACAGCATTTTTCGGGATAGCCCCCTCGTGCTTAAAAGCAACCAATTGTGCTGCAAGCGCTGTAAAACTCGTAACCTAAAACAAAACTAAAGAGCCAGAAAGAAACGGGCTGCGTGTACTCACCACTCCAGGGAGAGCACTCTCGGCCTCGTGGTTGGGCCCGTCGTACTGGTTGTGGGGGGAGCCCACCGAGCTGTCGCTGCTGCTGTCAGGGCTGGACGGCATGATGCCACCCACCGGCACCAGCTTACCCGTTAACGTCTGAAACAACACAACATAATCATACATTATAATAAATAGCAATTGTATGGCGCATTTATAGGTGCTGAAGCACTAACATACTGACAAGAACTTTCGCTGTCTATTAGTTTTTAGTTTCAGTAAGAGTTTTTAAGAGCTTTAAGATCCCTTGGTGGTAAAAAATCAATAAGAGTAGGCTTCGGCCGCCACTCTGGCAAAATTCAAAATTAACTACAAACTGAACAATGTTTAATGTGTCCCGCGGGCTCATATAACCTTATGCAGTTACGATCGCCGTAAAACACTTACAAAAAAAACTTTTAAAAACACAAAAAAACCCCTACCATCTTGTCCCTGAGCGGAATCTGTGAGATGAGCTTCTTGTCCTCACTGGCGTCAATCTGCTCGGCGTTGACGTACAGCTCCACCTTGATGTTGGGGCCGGCCTTGACCTGCTGCAGGATGTGCCGTCTCACCTGGCCCACCGTCTCGTTCGAGTGAGACCAGATTTCCACGTCGTCCCACTGTCGGTTCTGGCTCGGGAACCGAACCTTCAGCATCATCAGCTTCCCGCGGCACGCCCTGAGGGTAAACGACAAACACAAGTTGGTATCAACTACTGACAATATCAAAATACACAAATACTGATGGAAATTTGTTTGGCCTATACACACAATCCGAGTCGCTCTACATAATTCTATCAGAGACACCTGTTACGTTTTAAGGACCTTAACATACATGCAAAAACGCTTTAAAAAAAAAAAAAATGAACACTCCTCACCCAGACAGCATATATACCCCCTCAAAAAAATGATTTTGCTTTCATAACGATAAAAATATTTCTGTCCCACAATCAAAGGACAGAAACCGTGAGTACAGACTTGCACAACAATGTAGTAAGTATAACAAAGGAGGACAAAATGTCGGGCAGTTATCACAGTAAAAAAGGCAATCCTCCATTCCACAATAAAGGCAAAGAGTTCCCCCCCCTCCCTTCCTACCTGCTGAGAGGCAAGATGGTCCTCTCCTCCCCACTTCCCTCCCTTCCTGCTGAGAGGCAAGATGGTCCTCTCCTCCCCACTTCCCTCCCTTCCTGCTGAGAGACCCCCCCCCCTCCCCTCCGTACCTGCTGAGCGGCAGAATGGTCCTCTCCTCCCTGTGCGCCTCGTCACACTCGGACAGATACTCCTTGAGCACAGTCAGCACACGCACCATACGCGCTGTCTCCTGCAACACGCGCTCCTTGCTGGCCGCGTCGTGGTCCCTGCCCAGCACGCTCACTGTGTCGTAGGCGGCCTTGAGCCGGTCGATGCACGATGTGATCAGGTCCTCGTGGATGGCCACCTGCTTCTGCTGCAGCCGCGGGCCCAGGTTGGTGAAGATGTCCTTCAGCAAGGTCACCGCTTTCTCCGCGACCTCGTCCGGGCTCCATAGAACGACCTGACATGGGGCCACAAATTCACAAATAAGTTTCATTTCCATCAAAGATCAGGTAAAATTAAACATTTGCATTGCAGAGAAAAAGCTAAGCGTTGAAAACCTTCCGCTCCTAAATTCTTGTTCTGTCTGCTGCTAGTTTGTTTTGTTTTAGTAAGTTCTTTACGGCACTTGCAACACGATAAGGTCATATAAGTGCCAAAGATTAAAGGTGTTACAAGAGAGTAGTAAAAAACACAAAAAAGGAGAGGAGATAAAGACGATAGATGTTCGATAAGAAAGAAGAAGCAAACCACACCCGAGCACCTGCCACCAACCAACAAAGCACTGTAAATGACACTCAAACACTTCTAAAACCCAAGAAAAAAATACCCCCCCCCCCCCCCCAAACAGTCGTGATCTCTGTGTTTTCTTGTATAACAGAGAAAACAATTCATAACATTGAGCTTAAGAAGAAGTCACATTTCCACTCACTGTTAAAAAAAAAGGAGATAGGACAAGTAAACACTGAGGTCGTGCAGCGACTTCGGTCGATGTGACAGAAAACAAAAACTCACCTTCCATAAATAATCGTAACCAATCAGTTCTATGTCGTCCATGAGGTACCCGCCTCTTCTCTTGGCGATCAGTTTGTTCTCTTTCAAATTCACTTGTTTGAAGAACCTCTCAAAGCAACTGGGAACAGAAAAAAAGCCAAATGAGAATAACATACTAGCAGCTCCAGTTCTACCACTAAAGAAACAAGACGCCAAACTCAACATGGAACTTGGCACAGCAACAAAAATTGTTGAAATAAACCGCATATAACACAATCAAAAAAATAAAATAAATCAAAGATAAAATTTTCTTAAATGCAAATTCATGTAACTTACATCCCCTTGCTTGACCCGAACAACTTCAACACCATAAACATCACTACAATACTACCACTCTAGCAAGAATGCTGCAAACAGTCTTTTGTCTTCTTTTTCTATATCAATAAATTTGGCCAACACTTAAAAATAGATTTCCAAAAGCATCTGAATCTCACCAACCATACATGACACTCTTCCCTCAATAAAATATAATATAAATAAAACATAATAATATATATATTTGAAAGAGCACACAAAATTTTCGGATGCCCTTCAATAGTTATAGTAAGTTAAAGGTCATAATTAGAATGAATTTCAACCACAAAATAATCCATTTTTTGTTTTTGTAAAGTGTTTTACAGCGCTCGCAACTGCATAGGTCATATGAGCGCGCGGGACACACCTAATATTTTCAGTTGGTAGGACATTTTGAATTTTGCCCGGCTGGCGGCAGAAGCCTACTCTTATCGATTTTAGACCACCAAGGGATCTTTAATGTGCGCAACTTGCACACGGGCCCTCCGAGATTTTTCCCCCTTTCCGAGAAGGCTGGTGTAGATCTTTCCTACCAGAAGATCAGGGGTGTGGCAGAAAGACAGCAGTAAGGAGGAGCCAAGGAGTAGCAGTAGAAAGGCTGCAGAAAGAGTCAGGAGCCCAGAGGAGGGGGCAAAGGAGGTGAGGGGGTGGGGGCAGAAAGTGGACATGAAAGCAGACAACAGAACATTGCTAGAGAGCAGGAAAGGAGGTGAAAGGAGACAATTTTAGAGAAGAAAATTTTTCGGTCGCTACCCAGATTCGAACCCGGGACCTTTGAAAGAGAGGCCAACACCTTAACCGCTGGGCCACGAGAGCCCCCAAAATAATCCAAGGCAAGGAAGCCAAAACCAAAAAGCCTTGACTGGACAGGACAAAACTTACTTCATGCCGTTCTCGGTGAGCAGATCAGGATTCAGCTGTAAGATGTTCCGCTCAAAGAAATCTCTGGTGATCTCCGGATCCAGGTCGGGTTCCTCACCCATCAACTGTGGGCAAACACAAGGGAGGAAAACACGTCAGACTCAGCAATTAACCAAAGTCTTCACCAACATAACAATTAAAAACTTAAAATATTTGTCCGATACAAATAAGAAAACATATTGTCACGATGCCGTGATAATGGCTTGGCTCATCTATCACTATTCCATTCCTAGAAAATACAAAGAGCAAAACAAAATTTTAAAAAACAAACAAACAAACAAAAAAGTCATGTCTTTTTCAAACTTAATGGTCAACAACATTTTTTTAAATAACAGAAAATGTACTGTTGCATTAACACAGTAATTTAGTCCAAGGTAAGCCATACTATAAGGAATGCCATGAGAAATCTTTCCTAAGTACGAATCATTCCACATTTACATTAGATCTCCCTTAGTGAAGCACTCTCACCTTTGCGAACCATTTGAAACAGGCTTCTCTGTCAGATATGTAAATAGCATTCCCTGCGAGACAATTCCAGATCTGCGGAGGAACAAAACAGACACATGTGGTCACAATTTCCCCGACTCGCATGTACTCATATCCCCAAAGCTGGGTTATATTTTCCTATCCAATACGCTGATGATGCAAGTGAAACTATCTCTATGTCATCGATCATCGTAAATTATCACAAAAATCAAAGACACCCCCCCCACTACTCTATGCCATCAACCATCCATTACCACAAAGAGAGAATCACCCCCACCTCCCCCAAAAACAAACAAGCACCTCCCTCTACTGACCATGCTGCTCAGACTTCTACACCAAATCTTAGCCACACACCACACACCCCAAGCAACACGCCACACACCACGAGCCACACACCCCAAGCAAAACGCCACACACCCCAAGCAACACGCCACACACCCCAAGCAACACGCCACACACCACCAGCCACACACCCCAAGCAAAACGCCACACACCACAAGCCACTCACCTGGCCAGCTTGAGTTTCACACAGCCACAACTGTCCATCTTTCAGCAGGAACCTGAGAGAAGAAACACAACACCCATTCACATAGAAACGTTTAATTTTAGTAAGAGTTTTACGGCACTAGTAACACAATAAAGTCATATAAGTGCCGAAGATTAGATGTATTACAAGAGAGTAACATACACAAAAAGGAAGGAGGAGAGATAAGGACGATAGATGTTTGACAGGAAAGAAGGAGCACACCACACCAGAGCACCCGCCAACCACCCACTTATACAGAAACATAACAACACCCAGTCACATAGAATCATAACAACGCTTGCAATATAACCAAACAACAGCTTAGTCTTCAACACTAGCTCACAGCCACAATCGGGACCAAAATTGCTGGAAAATTCTACAAATGTGTAATCACTGTTTCGAGGTTAATCAAGTACATAAAAATATGACATCAAAATGCTTTTTCTTTTTAACTACCAATATTTCATTTCCAACTACAACTGTTGAGTTTGGGGGTGTGTGTCTTTCCTAAGGTTGTTTCCCCGTGTTCAGGTTCTCTTTCCCCGTGTTCAGGTTGTCTTTCCCCGTGTTCAGGTTGTCTTCCCCCGTGTTCAGGTTGTCTTTCCCCGTGTTCAGGTTCTCTTTCCCCGTGTTCAGGTTGTCTTTCCCCGTGTTCAGGTTGTCTTCCCCCGTGTTCAGGTTGTCTTTCCCCGTGTTCAGGTTCTCTTTCCCCGTGTTCAGGTTGTCTTTCCCCGTGTTCAGGTTCTCTTTCCCCGTGTTCAGGTTGTCTTTCCCCCCTGTTCCGACAGCACACAAAAGTCATTCTCCACCACTTTCAAAGCTAGGAGAAACTACATCCACTATTAATCTTCTTGAAACAACAATTTGCACCATTTCAATACATTTTTATGTAACCTACAAATGGACGCTTCTAAGGACAAGCGGGCTAACCCAGATTTCAGGGGTTTCCAGAAATCTTGACCGACACCAAAAGTGTCTATAGGAGAAGTTTGGTTTCATTGGTGTGTATATTTGTTTGGTTATAAAAAAAACTCTCCTTGTCCTTTAAAGAAACTGAATAAGGGTCCAAAAACTTTACCATTTTCTCAAAACAGCATTTTTCGGGATAGATCCCTTGTGCTTAAAAGCGACCAAATATCAGCTCCAAAATCAGGACACAGGGGAACAAAAAACATCCACTATAGAAAAGATGACACAACCAGAAAATGAGCTATGACAGCTCGTCAGACTGCCACATGTCACGTCTATCACACTTCACCACCTCGAGGAGGTCAGCCAACACATACCTGAGAAACCTAAGCCGCTCAGTGACTTGCACGTTGTGATTGAAGCGACCATCGGGCAAAATGTTGGTCGGATCCTCGTTTGGATGGGCTGGAAAACAAAGGAATATTTATTTTTTAATTAAAAGTTTTACGTCGCTTGCAACACAATAAGTTCTTATAAGTGCCGAAGTTTAGATGTGTTACAAGAGAGTAACAAACACAAATAAGAAGGAGGAGAGGTCAAGACAATAGATGTTTGATAGGGAAGAAGGAGCAAACCACACCAGAGCACCCGCCAACCACCCAGGAATAGCAATCTGTCGTGAACAATTACCTCATAATCAAAACAGAAGGTATTTCAGGCACCCCTCCCAGTTTTTTTGTGTTTTAACCCAAGGAACCTCTCAGCACCCCATCAGCACAGCATACAAGCTGATATTTTCCTCCCTCAGAGTATTTCAAAACCACGAGTCTACCCAACAGCCTTGCAACAACTGCGCTACAGCTGCGGTCCTGCAAACTGCTACAAAAGCCATCCCAGACTTGTGGCTACACAGAAAATATGTTCCCATGACAGGACAGAACCAACCATATTGGATAAAAGGCAGACGGGAAGCAAAATAAGCTGTCCAGTAACAAATATTCTGCTACAAGTACAAGTATGTATCTAGCTTAAGATTATTATTGTTTATATTACTATTCATTTAAATTATGCATGTGACTATAAGCCTGAATGTGTGTGTGTGTGTGTGTGTGTGTTTGTGTATGTGTGTGTTTGGTGAAACACCAAACCAATGAACCAGGACCTGGACAATAAAGATGTAAAAACTAACCTTATCTCCTCCAGTACATCTTAGCGAGCACACACATACACACACACACACACATACACACACGTCCACAGTGTAAGCTTACCGTCGGCATAAGCCCTCTGCTTGTTCATGTAGGCCGAGAGGTTCTGAGAGACCAGCATGACGATGGAGTGCTGGCTCTGTAGCTGACCAATCACGTTGTTGCGGTAGTACATGTGAGCACCTCGCTGACTGTGGGGGAAGTTCTGGGGGGCCTGTGGGCACGCCGCCACAATAAAGTATCTCTCGTTAGTTTGGTTTTTTTGTTACAGTTTTACGGCACTTGCAACACAATAAGGTAATATATAAGTGCCGAAGATTAGAGGTGTTACAAGGGAGTAACAAACACAAAAAAGAAAGAGGGGAGATATAGACGATAGATGTTTGATAGGAATGAAGGAGCAAACCACATCAGAACACCCGCCAACCACCCAATCGCTCTTTAGTCTTCATTCAATCTTTCCTCACTCACATGATATACCAATCTGCCATTTGACTTTCCCTTGTTTCTGACTCATTCTCCACACAAAAAGGAGGACCTACACCTTGTTTTACAACTCAATGGAAATAAAATACAAATATTTTTCTACTCTCAAACTCCCATTACTAAAGCAATCCAAAATCTGCTATTTATTTTCTCCAAAGTTGCAATACAAAGATGAAGATGTCAGTGAAAAGGCGGAAACAACTAAAAGCCAGTTAATTGAAGGTAATACTACACAATAAAATACAAGCAAAAAGTACCCATTAGAACTTCTTATCAAAAACGTAGACTGGAAACTTGTTGCTATGACAACTACAAGCCAAGAGAGAGAACTCGCGACCTCAGTGCTTTCTTGTCCTATCTCCATTTTCAATAATAACAGTGAAAACAGTTCATAACAAAGAGTGAGCTTAAGAAGAAGTCACTTTTTTTTAAAAATGTAGATAGGACAAGAAAGCAGCGGAGATCGAGAACTGGCGTCTTACCTCTGGGAAAAGTGTACAGATCTCCTTGATTTGTTTGAGGGCAGGAAGCACCCACTGGTCGTTCTTCAACTCCTCCACAAACTTGGAGATCCACTGAAGTTTTTGAGCATCGCGATCCTTTAGTGGGGAAAGAAATTTTTCCTTTTAAAATCCACAAATAAATACCATTATTGTAAAATGTTTAACAATTTAAGTAACGGGGAGGACAAACAAGGAAGAAATTATCTATAGAAAAACAAGATCCAACCCCTATAAAGGCTGGGGATTTCTTTAGTTTTAGTAAGAGTTTTACGGCACTTGCAACACAATAAGGTCATACAAGTGCCGAAGATTATAGGTGTTACAAGAGAGTAACAAACACGAAAAAGGAGGGGAGATAAGGACGATAGATATTTGATACGAAAGAAGAAACAAACCACACCAGAGCACCCGCCAACCACCCACTAGTTTTTAATTAATTTTTTAAAAACAAACAACGCAAACGAGAAGAGACAAGTATCCTGCTGAGATGAGGTGTGGATATATGCAACAAGACAGGCAGAGACAGACACGCTGTCTCACAACAGAACAAACACAATCCCCCAACTACCTGAGAACAACTATAGTCCAGGATCTTGTAGTGAGCGCTGAGAGCCTGGTCCATGATGTCCGTGGGCACGTCGTCACTGTGAGCAAGATTCCACAACAGGGTGAGCACCTGAGGAACGCATGGGAGACACAACTCATAAATGCTGAGTAACAACTTTTAACAAAGGCACAGTAACAATGGCTAACAATGGCATGGTTGCAACAGTAAAATAAGGTACAGTAACAAAAGTTAATGAAGGTACAATAATAATTGGTCGCTTTTAAGGACAAGCAGGCTAACCCAGATTTCAGAGGTTTCCAGAAATCTTGACCTCCACCAAAAGTGGGCATTACCCTACCTATAGGAGAAGTTTGGTTTCATTGGTGAGTATATTTGTTTGGTTATAGAGAAAACTCTCCTTGTCTTTTAAAGAAAATGAACAAGAGTCCAAAAACTTTACCTTCGATTTTCACAAAACATCATTTTTCGGGATAGCCCCCTTGTGCTTAAAAGTGACCAATTATTACCAGAGGCACAGTATCAACAGTTAAACATTCTTCTATATTACCCTACCCGACCTCATTTTCAAACTAGGATGGTGTCAGATTTCTTAGTCTATGGTCTATATTCTGAACAGAACAAACTAGTGGTATTTTTTAAAGCATAATAAAGTTTATCAAAATCCACTGATTGTGCATCAATTCTTGCATGACACACACACCCTTCAATCATTCAGCACCAGAGCAGTCAGAGTGCTCAAAATAAGATGAATATTTAGCAACTGATTTGGATCCGGAATTTCTACATGTCAGCCACAATCTAAACACAGTTGAGCATAACAATGTGAAAAAAAAAAAAGAAAATCCGAGTTAGTTTAAGACACAACAAACCTCTAGAGCTTGAGACAAACTTCATGCCATCCCTCTCTCTTTCCCAGTGAAAGCACACGTTGCACAACATGGAATTCCACTGCTGGAACCATCAAGCAGATAAAGAAACATACCTTTTATAGTAAGGTCATATAAGTGCGGAGAAACATACCTTATGAGCCATGACACCTTCTTTGTCATCTTCCGCCAGCCTTCGTATCAACTCCAACAGCTTCTCTCGCTGTTTTTTACTTGCATGATGCCACGACCCCTGTAGGATACAACGCACAACGGGAGAACGTCAGCCAAAGGAAGAATCAGAATTTAGTTGAAGAAAGAGTTTTACAGCACTTGCAACACACCTTTCCCCAGGATCTCAGAGAAATAACAAATTTTGAGATGTTTAAGCGATTGCTCAAGACTCATTTGTTTAATTCTTAGTTATAGTGTGTTAGTAAGTGCTGATATGTTTTGTTTGTTACCGCTGTCCTTTCATGTACATAGTTAATGTATGGTTGTGAAAGTTCTTCTTCATGTGGTTAAACTGGTTTTTCTTGGTTTTTCTTGCTTCTGTGAAATATTTTTTTTCTTGTTTCTGTTAAATATTTTTTTTCTTGTTTCTGTGAAATATTTTTTTTCTTGTTTCTGTGAAATATTTTTTTTCTTGTGTTCAATAATCATGTGATTGGTGTAGTGTTCAGAGCTTAAATACTATTAAGGGATATAAAGCTATATAAATGCAATCTATTATTATTATTATAATTATTCCTATACAGCACAGCCCACGGAGCATCGCCAGACACTCACCTGAAAGCACTCAAATAGATGGTCCAGCTGCTCGGGAGAGAAATCCCAGGCCAACTTGGCAAGGAGGTCGTGCACGTTCTTCACAATGGCATCGTGCTTGCCAGACTGAAAACACAAAGATAGGAACGATAATTGGCATCAGTGACCATGGCAACTGATTAACACTTCCATCACTGTGAGGTAAAGACTTCTAGGGTTTTTTTTGCATTAATTATTCCAATATATACAAATGTCTGATGTGATGTAAGACACATATATGGCAAGTTGTGTGACATCAGAAGAGGAGAAACAGATCAGAAATTATGCTACCAATACTTCTCTCACATGATTTTAAGATAAATTCACATTTTACTCAAAGCAAAAACATACTTTTCAGTACATGCACAGAACTTAAACTGTGATATATTTGTTCTAATCCAAAACTAAGAGTTGTTAATTTGTTGTCGGTTGTTTTTTCCTGCTTTTATTAAGGGGGTGAGGGAGTGGGTAATGGAGACAGGTGATGCGGGCAACAAAAAACAACAACAAACACACAAACAAAACCCCCGTCCCAAAAAACTGGCCACAACACTTTTTTGGCCGAGTGAACTATCTTGTTATGTACAATCTTTGCTAATACTATAACTCCAAGCTGACCTGAGCGTCCCACAGGCGGTCAAGGTCGTCCATGGTGAGGGCTCGTTCTTTGATCATGAAGCGCAGGATCTTCTCCAGCTTCTCCACGTACTGCGGCTGATGCAGGCTGTCCCTCAGCACAATGCTCAGCACATTGTTCTGCTGAATCCATTCCTGGGGGGGGGGAAGAGAAAGTCAGGTGACCACATGCGCGTACATTGTCTTTTTGTTTTAGTAAGAGTTTTACAGCACTTGCACCACAATAAGGTCATATAAGTGCCGAAGATTATAGGTGTTACAAGGGAGTAACAAACACAAAAAAAGAAGGAGGGGAGATAAAGACGATAGATGTCTGATAGGAAAGAAGAAGCAGACCACACCAGAGCACCCCAAGTGACCACAAGCGTACATTGTCTTACTTCTTTTCCAAAGATAAGATAAAATAAGATAAGATACATCTTAACTGTCCAGATCCTGGCACACTGGTTTGGTGTTTCACCACATACACGCGCTCACACACACACACACACACAAACAACCCAATTTCCTCCTGACAGCCAACCTCTCTCTCTGTTTTATTTTGAAAGACCTTGGGAACTCTGTGCCACCACTTTCCAAAGAGGAAATTTACTCGTTAATCCAATCCCTACGCTTTGCATAGCAGTCTGTTCAAATGATTTTTGAGAAACTGAAAGCTTCAAAGAGATCTTCGCACTAGAAGTATTCTAAAATGTGAAGAATACAACCACAGGGGTACAAAATGACCTCAGAGCATATGGATAGGGTTAAAGAGTTCAGTCTACACTATCAACTGTCCACCGACAAGAGTACATACGGCCATTTTGTCAGCAGTGAGCCACTCGTCCTCGTCCAGGCTGGAGTGTCGACTGCTGGCCTGGAAGCTGACGTTGGTGATCACTTTGTTCACCTCGTTCAGCGCATTCATTTTCCCGTTGAACGAAGAGATCTGAAGTAATCTGTGGAGACATAAATCATTCCTTCATTGCTCTGTTGGAAACCACAGCCCTTGTAATGGCAAAATCATGTATTACGCCAAATGAAATCCCCTCCTTCGTTGCCCTTTCAGAAACCACAGCCATACCTGCCAACATTGCCTGTGCCAAAATCTGTAGTTTGACGCAAATTTTTGTCCAAAAATCTGTAGTTGACCTAAAAAATCTGTAGTAGGCTATATTACCTCTTGTCGCATACTTAATTTGGGTCCCTTATTAATATTTTATTTTGACCCACATCAAATATGCATGATTGTGTTTGCGACTTCAAACAAATGTAGAAAATGACAAAGAAAAAAAAATGACAAGTATGAAAACTACCAGAGGCATTTACCCTATTAGTAGTTAGTGCAGTTCCTGTCCTATTCATACCTGCACGAACGCATACACAAATGAAACAAAAAAACCACACCCCCCCCCAAAAACAAAAAAAAAAAAAAAAAAAACAGAAGCAAAGAAGAAAAGATGAAGAAAAGGTGGGCCTTGGAAGACTTATTAGGCCTAGCCTTGGCCTTTTGTCTTTACAGAGTTTACAAGGAAAGAGTATGACGGATCCTGAGTCCACACAAGGCCTGCACCAACACGCGTTTTTCAGAGAGTTTTCTAGATCTAGAGGTAATCAAAAATTTAGAATACTAAAATTTGCTTCCAAGTTCCCTAAAAAAAATAATCCTCCCCCTCTTCCCCCCCCCCCCCCCCCATTTCGGAGTCCTATACTACGCAGCGCTCAGACTTTGAATGAACTTTGGTGACCCCTACAAGTGCCCGTGCTCACAATGTGATGGAACGCGAAAGTTCATTGACCGGTCACAATGGCGAACCCGACAAGACTCTTGTATAACTATAACTTTCTTTTCTTTTCTTTTTTTTCTTTCACAAGTGACAGCACAGCACAAATATTGATTTATTTTCAAGGCGACACAGCGTTTGCCATGCACAGCCTGCATGTTGTTACAATTAATGTTGCGTTATCAAACTACTACCAGCAAATTTCTGGGTGGTAACGAAAGTGAAAGTAGATCTATATCTTGATTATCCCGATCAAACGTCGGTATCACACCCGCTTGCCACCATAGCCGCCTGTCTGCGTGAAGAAACATACTCTCGAGGGAGCCGAATGAATCACAATCGCGACTGGCAAAAATGAACTTTCGGGCGTTGTCGGATTTGGTTTTCAAATATTTGATAACTTTCTCAAATTCCCGGGGCCTGGCAGTCACCCTGCTGAATCCCGAAGTCGGTGGCTTCATCTCAAAATCGGTGGATCGGTAGTTTGACCCAAAAGTCGGTGATTTACCTATTTTTTCTGTAGGGTTGGCAGGTATGCACAGCCCTTGTAAAGGCAAAATCATGTACTATGCCCAATGTACATGCTACACAACTACTGCCATGACTTGGAAAGGTACACTATCACAAAGTTCTGACTATGTGGAAGACACACAATCCTCTATGCTACGTCCATATAGAACAAGTGCCCAACTACCATCCATTTGCTACAAGGAACAGACCAAGAAGAACAACAAAAAGTAACATTATCCGATCAACAGCTGATGACATGTTCTAAATGTCTATGGCCGAGCCAGGCTCATCAGTGAATCTATTCCACCTTATAGAAAACAAAACAAACCTCCTCATTTCCTATAGACTTTTGTAGCAGAAGTAATTTCACCCCCTACAAAATGTACAATAGTAGAGTTACTATTAGAGAGTGCACAGTAAGGTACCACTAGCCTCTTTGTGAATGTATACCAAACATTAATCTCATCCCCAAAAAAGAGACAACAAAGCAAGTTAATGCAATATCAATTACTAGACTAAAATATAAAAAAATTAATTTTCTAAACAATTTTTGAAGAAGCTTATGCATCATTTATCAAAATCGCTATAAAATATATCACTGACTGCTCCACTCCAACATTCAATCTTCCTACTTGAACACTGGGCTTTCTTCTCTGAATTTCTCATAACATACTAGGAGGGATTGTTCAAGAAGGTAAAACATTCATTCATTACCGGTGCTTGCTGAAAACCAGAAAAAAATCTCACCTGAGTATCATTTTCAGTCTAAAAATTTCTAAGCTTTTGGTGGTCTCTTCCTGATTGGGTAGCCGGTTGACCAGCTGCTTCAAGGCTTTGATGATGGAGGAGAGAGCGTCATTCTTGGCCTCATTTTTTGACTCCTTCTTCAGTTCTTCGTCTGTCAACTTGTCCAAAAATTTGGGCACGACATCCTGGAAAATTTTATTCAATCATCAATTTCCATTCTGCTTCCTTTTCTTCTATTAATCTGACCAAAAAAAAATTGTTGGCGAGTCTTCAAAGAAGAAAAAACTATCAGTTTAGGTTCAGTAAGAGTTTTACTGCACTTGCAACATAATAAGGTCATATAAGCGCCAAAGATTAGAGGTGTTACAAGAGAGTACAAAACAAAAAAAATAAGGAGGGGAGATAAAGACGATAGATGTTTGATAGGAAAGAAGAAGCAAAAACTGTCCATCCTAATGAAACCACTCATGTAAATGTACAAAAACCTTCACTAATAAATCTGTTCAAAGTAAAAAAACAGCAAACACAACACTTGTTGATCGGAGCAAGCAAAAGACCTATAGAGTGTCGGACTTACCACAATGGGCATGAAGTACTTCTCTATAGTGTGTGGAGTCAGCACCTCACTGCACAAACCAAACGGTCTGAGGGGAAAAACAAAATGAGAATACAAAATCAGCTCACAGCCTCTGCCATAACGTTTCGACATATTCATCCAAATCATGAAGTTTTCATCCTAATTTAATTCTACTGGTAAAAAATTACTGAACATACAATTGGCCAAAAAAAATGGACCAAACGGCCCATCAAACAAAGAAATTTTGGGATGAGATTACGTTAATAATAGCGAATGCATCATAAAAACGAGAAGGAACTTTCAGTCCTTCAAGAGGAGAAAAGTGAACAATAATAAAAAATCTTGTGAGCAAATTGGTAAACCAGGAGCCCTGACAGTGTCAGAGTCTGTCTCTCTGTATGTGTGTGTGTGTGTGTGTGTGTGTGTGTGTGTGTGTGTGTGTGTGTGTGTATGTGTGCGCGTGTGTGTGCATGTATCCCCCCCCACAGCAGCGACACTTACTTGACTAGGCTGGCAACCACTGGCACAGATAAGGCTGGTCCTTTGAAAAATCTGTCTAGTAATATCCGGAAACCGTCCAGTGAGCCAAAGCGATTCACGAGATCCACCAGCCAACCCTGGAGAGCAGTCAGATGTTATCTTTACCTTAGTGCTACACACACAAGTTCACATCAACAAAATACGCAGAAGTTTTAGTTTTGGTAAGAGTTTTACGGCACTTGCAACACAATAAGGTCATATAAGTGCCGAAGATTAGAGGTGTTACAAGAGAGTAACAAACACAAAAAAGAAGGAGGAGAGGTCAGGACAATAAGACGTTTGACAGGAAAGAAGGAGCAAACCACACCAGAGCACCCGCCAACCACCCACAAAATATACCCATAAGGCAAGGTTCTCATGACACTATTTTGCATAAAGCTGTCAGGGGCAAAGAACATCATGCCATCCCCGATATAACTAAAGGCTTTAAAGCAAAATTTCTTTTAATTATTCTTGTACCTTATAAAATAACGCAACACCAAAAGTTAAAACCAAAATATTCTTGAAACTTCCAAGGTCTCTGTTGGTCTTGAGTCTCGAATTAATAATAAACAAGCAGAAGTCTTTATTCACTTAATATTTTCATTTGACACTTTAGCTTTTAAAAATGTTTGCGTAACATCCCCAATGTTCACTTCAAACATTCTCTGAGAACAAAATGTCAGCTGAAGTTATTTCTGTTTTTAAATTAATAAGATGAAAATTAGGAGTGATTTTCTTTTGGTCACAACACAACGTTTTATGTTACTGTAGTACGTTGTATTGTATTGTAAAGCTCTCAGAGCCTGTGTACTTTAATCGGGGTTGAGTGCTTTATAAAAGCCATTTATTATTATTATTATATAGAACACACATCCAACAGTCCAGGGTCCAGATAAAAATAAGAGCACACAGGCCACAGACAGCTGCATGGCCTACCTTGGGTGTTCTGTGGTCCGGCGGTCGGGCAAACAGGGCGTCTTCCGCTGGCTGCGTGCCGGAGGGGACAGTCTCTGACTGCCTCGTGGCGTTGTACGAATGGAATCTACGAGACAACAACAAGCAAGGTAACTATCTCTCTCATAATACTTATAAAGAGATAAAAAAGAAAATATCATGGTTTTGACCTGCAGATCCATGACAAATGCTGAACACATAAGAAACAAAATTCGAGCTAGCTAAAGCTCATGCTTGCTGCCATAGATTTATACTCAAAACCACTGAAACAAAGTCCTATTGCCAAAGTGCCATGGCCATTTAAATAATATCAAGACATAAAATGAACAGGAATTTGAAATCTTTTTCATTCAGCTCCTGAAGCAATTTATTTAAGACATATATGGTCATGTTATCTCCAAGATCTTATTTCAATACAAATACTCAAACATAACTATGCATAGCTCTTGTGGAAAAATGTTATTTTCCCCCAGAGTGGAAGGATGTTTAACTTTTTTTCTAATACACAACATATCGCACCCTCAGTGCTTTCTCGCCTTATCTCCTTTTTTTTAACATTGAAAGTTTGACTTCTTCTTAAGCTCCCTTTTTGTTATGAACTGTTTTCACTGTTGTTCAAAATGGAGATGTTCCTCCACACTAGGGCCAGCAGGAAGGTGAAGTGACTTACTTGCAGGTTGGATTAAGGACCATGGACAACAGGTCCAGCAGCGGGAACCAGTCCTGAGACAACTTGTGCACACACAGCTCTATCAGCTTCTCCGCGTTCTTCAAAATACATTTCTGAAATACCAACCATCATTCTTCAAAATACATTTCTGAAATAACAACCATCATCCTTCAAAATACATTTCTGAAATACCAACCATCATTCTTCAAAATATATTTCTGAAAATTCAAAATACATTTCTGAAATACCAACAGCATTCTTCAAAAGACATTTCTGAAGTACCAACTCATTTCACTAACAAGAGACATTATATTGAATAAACTATGAAGGCATGGGACAAAAAAATGACATCATACTAATTGTATAAAAAGCTTAATTGTCACCAGTAGAGTTGTAAAAATATTCAGAACTGCCTTTGAAATCTACCACAAGGAAATTGAGAGAAAACTTACATGGATTTCATACTTCCAGCCACTGACAGCTTCATCCGTTAAGATCTTGGTAAAGGAAACTGTCAAGCCTTCACGAAAAAATCTCTGACATGCTTCACTCCTTGTATCTACACCTGCAACGACAGACGAAAAGACATTAACGACTCATCTGGCTCATTGAGTAATGTTAACGAAACCAGAAGCACATCAACACAATTAGTCGGACAAAAACGAAAGGGGGACAATTACGAGCAAGAACCTACCACCAGTGCCTTTATTTCACAATCAAAGCCTTATATCAGTCAAGAGATAAAAAATGCCTTACATCTTTCTACTACTACTAAACTAGCCATTAGCTCGATTCAGTCTGTCTTCAGGGACAAGTAGAAATTACTACAGCAGAGAGAAACAAAGTTGCGAACCTTGTCCACAACACAAATAACTTTCCTTCTTAAATACACACAAACAATAATATCTATCAACCTCACACAAACAATAATATCTTCTTAAATGTCCCTATGGAAATCTTGTCTCCAATGGCATACCTACATATGCATACACACAAACAATAATATCTATCAACCTCACACAAACAGCACTTCACCAATACAGACGACCAACACGCCATTTCCAGTCACCACTGTACAGGAAGAACATTCACAGACACTGACATTGCTTATATTCTCCTTCATTATGAAACAAACGTGTAAGAAAAGCAAATTTCAACTCGCTATACACTCCCCTCCATCCTCCCCAAAAGCTGACTAGACATTACCTTCTTTGCTCAGCCTGGTGGCTGCGTCCAGTAAGACTTCCAGTTCTCCCTTGGGCAGTACGGGCACCACCCACCGCGGTCGGTTGATCATCTCGTCCAGACGACTTAACTCAAGCATGGGAAACTCCGGCTCCGCATCTCCGCCACCTTGAGCTGAGCCACACAAAAAAAATTAAAAATTGAAGAGTCATGTTTTAAGTTTTGGTAAGTGTTTTATGGCACTTGCAACACAATAAGGTCACGGAAGTGCCGAAGATCAAAGGTTTAACAAGAGAGTAACATACACAAAAAACAAGGAGGGGAGATAGAGACGATAGATTTTTTATAGGAAAGAAGAAGCAAACCACACCAGAGCACCCGCCAACCACCCACTGAGTCATGTTTTTTAGGAACAAAAAGCACAAATTTTTTTTCTAAAACAAAAAAAGACATGATGATCATTTTTATTTACTGTTGAACTTAAAGAAAAATTCTCCAGTGTTCACTCAAGGTCAAACACCATAAAGCAAAGGACAACAGAAAAAACCACGACGAGGTACACAAGTTCAGACAGAAATTGCAAAATAACGTAAAAGAAAAAGCTTGTATACCACTTATCAAGCACGCAAGGGCAAGATCCTAAACATGTGCAAGAAACCCTACCCACAGTTCCCACATACTCTTGAAAAACAGAAACTCTGAACAAGATAAAAGATTATACCAGCAACTCTAACAAGAACAACAGATTATACAAGCAACTCTTGACAAAGATAAAAGATGATACCAGCAACTCTAACAAAAACAACAGATTATACAAGCAACTCTTGACAAAGATAAAAGATGATACCAGCAACTCTAACAAGAACAACAGATTATACAAGCAACTCTTGACAAAGATAAAAGATGATACCAGCAACTCTAACAAAAACAACAGATTATACAAGCAACTCTTGACAAAGATAAAAGATGATACCAGCAACTCTAAAAAAGATAAAAGATGATACCAGCAACTCTAACAAAGATCAAAGATGATACGAGCAACTTTAAGACAGATAAAAGATTACACTAGCAACTCTAACAAAGATATAAGATTATACCAGCAACTCTGACAAAGACAAAAAGATTACACCAGCAACTTTAACAGCAACTCTAACAATGGTAAAAGATCATACCAGTTACTCTTTTTAACAAAGATAAATGGATTTCACCAGAAACTCTAACAAAGATAAAAGATTAGACCAGCAACCCTAACCAAGATAAAAAATATTACATCCGCAACTCTGACAAAGATAAAAGATTACGCCAGCAACTCCAACAAAGATTATACCAGTAACTCTTTTTAACAAAGACAAAGAGATTACACCTGCACATCTGGCAAAGATAAAAGATTACGTCAGCAACTCTTTTTTACAAAGATAAAAAATTACACCTGCAACTCTTACAAAACAAATTATACCAGTAACTCTTTTCAACAAAGACAAAAAAATTACACCAGCACCTCTAACTAAGATAAAATATTGTTTACCAGCAACTCTTTTTAACAAAGATAAAAGATTATACCAGCAACTCTTTCTAACAAAGATAAAAGATTATACCAGCAACTCTTTCTAACAAAGATAAAAGATTACCGGCAGCTTCTCCTCCGGCCGTGGCAGCCGAGGGAGCTGGGGAGGAAGTCCTCCCGTTGACCTCCTCTCCGGGGGCAGGCACCGCGGTGCTGGTGGTGGTGGTGGTGGTGGTGGAGGAAGTGGTGAGCGCTGTGTCCACGGAGGAGGAGACCGTGGTGCTGTTGGTGGTCTGCGTGACCGCGGCAGGAGGAGCCCCACCCTGGCCGGGTGGCGTCGACGGTGCTGTTGTTGTGGTTGTCGTCTGCTGTTGCAGTAGTTGCTGCTGACTGCCAGGCTGTGTGCTGGCGTTCTCCTGAGGGCTGTCGCCCCCCGCCGATCCAGGCCGCATTTTTATGGTCATTGTGGATTGACCTTAAGACTTCTGGGGGTCATAAATATATGGGAAAAAGTAATGGGTTTGCGTTTTAAGCGCAGTAACGGTGTGTAGTGTTTGAGTGCTATAGGCTACTAAAACTGCCCCAAATGACCATGGCTAGTCTTTGAAAATCTTTCCAATTTGCACATTTAATTCCCATTTGCTGGATTCAGGAAATAACGAAGGACTTCCGTTGCCCTTACCTTAAAAATCTAAACACCCAAAACTTTTCAAAAAACTATTTTAAAAAATAAGAATAAAAAGTGCAGACGGAATATTGCCAATTTTTCCCCTTTCTTGTATGTTAGTTATATTCCAAAAGTCAAAGCTTTGCACCTGCACCTGAGATTGTCTCTAGATCTAGATATATGTAGAGGAAAACACAAAACACTTTTCATCTACTCACTCTCCCCCAATCTAAAGAAACAAAAGACATGAAGCTACAGCGAGCACCTAGCACACCTCTGTGATTGTCCCAATTATAAATGACGAGTTCCGCCATCTATTTTTGTCGTCTTCTGGGGTCCCCCCCCCCCCCCAAGACTCTTGGGTTTCCCTCGCCAGTAACTGTTGACTAGATCTCGCCGTGTTTGTTTCTTTTGTATTAAATTAATAATTTGCGTTATCTTTTTTATAAACAATCTCAGCAATTCCCGTTCTATAAATTTACCTTCTCAAAGTTGTACACAAACATACACATACACAAGCGCGCGTGCACATACAGCCCAAGCAGTCGGTGACGAAACCAAGTGTCAGTGACGTGGCCCATCGCGCGCCAAGCGGGCCATCCAGTGAGATGTAGTCAACTGACGAGGGAAGCCCCGGAAGACGACGAAAATAGATGGTGGAAATACGTCATCTATATTCAGGCCAATGACAGAGGTGTGCTAGGTGCTCGCTTTAGTAGCTTCATGTAAACAAAAGCCTCAACTCAGCCAAGACCAAATAAAGTCCACAAAAAGTTTCAACAAATCTCAGACTCTCAACCTTCTCTCTACTGAATCTAGATTTATCACTGGAACAGCAAGTAGGCCTATTTGACCTTACATCATGAAGTCTTACTAAATCTAGATCTAGATCTAGATCTAGATCTAGATAGAATCTATAAACTAACTCCTGATACAACTTGAGTCACTTGAGTCTGGCTGGCGAGTGGTGACATGATGATGTTTCAACCAAACAGGTAGTAGGCCAGTATGTGAGTGCAGATCTGGTCCAATGTACTGACATTGTATGTCAAGAAGTGTATTGAATGATCTTGTAGCTCCTGATGCCACTGGCTAGTCTGGCACTGGTGAGTGGTAGATTCTAGAGTCTAGAGTGTGATGATGTTTTTAGCAGCATCACTGAACTGTGACTATGAGTAGCCTACATCCCAATGCTGAGATTAGAAACACCTAGCTGAGTTAGAAAAGTATGTGACATTGACTGAATAACAAATACGTAATTGAAAAGATCTGCTCTTAATTTTATTTAGACCAAACAGCCAACTGGTTCTTGGCATTGGCTAAACACTTTACTCAACAAACTGACCATGTCCCAGTCCCCCCAGTCAGCAGACCCTGGTCAGTCATTTGTTGCACCGGCTAACGGGATCGAAACTGAATAACTTAATCATGGGGTTCTTAAAAATGGCATCAACAAAATAATGAACAAACCATTCATGCAGCACTGTAATTACCACGGCATGACAAAGCTAGTTTGAGCATATTGCGAGCATCGTAATCTTGGCATTGAGTGAGAGGAAAACCCAAATGACTGAACAAAATGGCCGACTTCACAAACAGAACGTTAACTTCCTTGGACTTTTTGTCTCTTCACGACTATTACAGGGGCGTTTATGATAATCTCACCTGTGTGACTGCACAAATGGGATGTGAGCAGAGAGAGCACATCAGTTCTAGTGTATAATAGCTTCAAGAAAAGGTGCAAACAATGTTATTTACACTTAGATTTCCTTGAAACAAGTTCTTACACACAATAGGCTAAAAATACACTACACAGTATTATGGTAATGATTAGATCTCGTTGCTTCGAGATTTTATAAAATTTTGTCTTTATCCTATAATTTTACAAAAATATTTAATTCAAAATAAAAGCTTCGAAAATGTGTTCTAAAATCAAGTAAAATAAGAATAATGTTTTCTTTATCAACAAAATTTTGATAGATTGTACGAAAACATGAAAAACATCGCTCTCAAAAACTGTGCCTTGTTCCCTCCCCTGGTTCGCCGCTCGGCGTTCGCTCCGCCTTCCTTCAGCCCCCAGCAGCTGACTGTTACAATAATACATTGTATTTTATCTATTATGTTAAGATTAAATAAAAACAGTATCGTGCTACAGCTACAGAAACTCTTCGTCTAAAACAATATGTACAAATCTATGTGACATAAATCCTTTAGTGAGAAAGAGGAATAGGCCTAAAGGCAATTAATTGGGGATGAGCGAGCCCATCTTTTGCCACCATTTCAAACGAGGTTTCAAAACAGTTGTCTTTCACTCCCTTTTCTTCATCGGATGCATCCGTGGGGAATTAACAAATAATAATATGTAGGCCTAGCCTCTCTCTCTCTCTCTCTCTCTCTCTCTCTCTCTCTCTCTCTCTCTCTCTCTCTCTCTCTCTCTCTCTCTCTCTCTCTCTCTCTCTCTCTCTCTCTCTCTGACCCCCCCACATACACACACGGTACACGCACAATACACATACCCAAGTTTAAAAATACCCAGCGGGGACATGAACTAGAATCGATCAGCACCTGCACTGTGGCTCATTTATTTATTCCCAGTGCTGTGGTGTTTGGTTTGACACAAAGAACGAATAAAAAAAGACGAGAGAAATATTTGGAGGGTCCAAAGTGGAATATGGGTGGATATATAAGGAGAGCGACAGAGTTTGTCTGTTTTCTTTTTTTTTCTTTTTTTGGGGGGGGGGGGGGGCAGGTAGGATATATAGCAGATCAGAGGAATAGAGACAGGGGGAGAAAAATATAACTGAGTTGGAGTTACGTATATATTTTTTGTTGTTGTATTTGGGGGAGGGGGGTATTTTTTGCTTTTTATATATTTTTAAATTTCAATATTTGTTATTATTATATGGAGGGGGATCGTATATATGATGATAAGCTGAGGTGCAGTGTGTAACATCGAAAATTGCAGAGAAAGACATGGGAGTACAACACCGCGTTCCAGAAGGAATTATATAACTACTATTTGAGTACTCGTGGTTTTTTTAGTGGATCCACACACACTGTACACTTTACAGTGGAGCTGTTTCTGAGACAATAGGGGAGGGAGGGGGTGAGGTTGTCCAAATCGACAGCATTTGTGGAGTTGATATAACCTTAAAGGTGAATATATAGGCTTTGCCAAAGAACCAAATGTCATAGACTTACTTACTATCAGAGGGCATGTTCACGCTTTTCAAGACGATTGAGGAATCACGGACACATTGCTATCCTTTGATAGCTTCGCGAACGGGAAAATGGTACAGTCGTAGATGAAAATCTGCATTGAGAATCCTGGCCGTCGACGAGATTAGGAAAGTCATTGCTGCAGACATCGTCTACGGACAGACGTCTCATGGGGCTCGTCCACTGAATTCTGCACCCTGGTGACGTTTAAAGGAGTCGCGAACGGTGTATGTTTGACCTGAGGTGGTAATTTTGTCCAGGGATTTTTAGGTCTGATTCTCTACAGGCACAGGTCCTTATAACTGATGGACCATTTCCACCATTGACATCAAAGAAGGCCTTATGGGCACTTCAACATTATTTCCGTACCTTGTGCGAAATGAGTTGGTGGTGAGGAAATGTTCAATAGAAAAAGCTCTCTATGCTTTTTACTAATCTTAACCATGATCTCAGCAGACAAAGGAAACTTGAGAAAAACTATCTGCAAACTTTTGTTAGCCTGTTAGACCACTATAGTTTGAAAATGGCGCAATCGTTTGGATTTTTAGTGGTAGGCCTAATGCAAACTAGTGCGTCATGTTACAAAAATGGGGTTGAGCAAAACTATTCTGTAGATTTATCTAAAATGAATGTATATCAGACAAATTCCTTTTGACTTCCAAATGTAGTGGACAAATTTGAAACGCAAAACTTCAGTGTTGGGAAAAAATTGTACAGTGTTTTGTTGTTGTTGTTTTTTTGGATCACCCTATACTTACTAAAGAACAGTAACAGCCTTGCCAAGTTTAGCCTAAGCACGTAACGTAGGCCTACGTCAGCAGATTGAGAAAACGGTTTTTCGAAGACTGGGAGTGGCACATAGCTTGTGGTTTTACACGAAAGTATGTCCGGTATGACATGGGTCTTGTCTTATCTAACTGCCAGGTAATCTATTCTTATTTGTGGAGGTCGTGGCACTCATTTTTCGAGATTCTAAAGAAAGTGTTAATTAGCTTATAAATTATAATATACATGCCTACTTTAATTCACAGAGAGTTTAGTTTTAGTAAGTGTTTTACGGTATTGCAACTCAATAAGGTGATCAAGTGCCGAAGATTAGAAGCGTTACAAGAGAGTAACGAACACAAAAAAGGAGGAGAGATATGGATGATAGATGTTTGATAGGAAAGAAGGAGCAAACCACACCAGGGCACCCGCCAACCGCCCGCTCACACACACACACAGAGAGAGAGAGAGAGAGAGAGAGAGAGAGAGAGAGGGGAGGGTGCCGGTTTTAGTTGGCGGTGCTACCGCTTGAACGGTCTGACAGATGGTTTAGTTGTCGCTCTACCACGATATTATCTTGTGTCATGCATTTTATACAGGCTGGGGCTGTCTTTGGTCCTGCAGAATAATATGTTTTGGCTGTTGTCGAGGTGTGTGTGTGGGGGGGTGGGGGAGCGCACCCATTTATCTAGGCCTACAGTACAGGAGTAACGAAGTGATAAAGGAAAGGAGTGCCCACGCATACAAGACAAGAGAAACACACACGGTGAAAGGAGTGCCCACGCATACAAGACGAGAGAAACACACACGATGAAAGGAGTGTCCACACACAAGACAAGAGAAACACACACGGTGAAAGGAGTGCCCACGCACAAGACAAGAGAAACACACACGGTGAAAGGAGTGCCCACACACAAGACAAGAGAAACACACACGATGAAAGGAGTGCCCACACACAAGACAAGAGAAACACACACGGTGAAAGGAGTGCCCACGCACAAGACAAGAGAAACACACACGGTGAAAGGAGTGTCCACGCATACAAGACGAGAGAAACACACACGGTGAAAGGAGTGTCCACGCATACAAGACGAGAGAAACACACACGGTGAAAGGAGTGTCCACGCATACAAGACGAGAGAAACACATACGGTGAAAGGAGTGTCCACGCATACAAGACGAGAGAAACACACACGGTGAAAGGAGTGCCCACGCATACAAGACAAGAGAAACACACACGGTGACCAAAGAGCGCAGTACTTACTTTTACCTTTTCCATGTCGCGGGGAGGGGCAAGTTTCGGTCCTGTGCTAGGTGTGTAGTGTCTGTGATAGATATTTTACATGTATGTTGTTCCAGGACCCTTTTAACCCCATACAGTCAGATCTTTCTTGGTCTTCCTCCTGATTTGAAGCCGGATTCTCCGGTGTTATGAGCTCTTGTCGCTAGTTGTTTCTGTTCTGGGGCATTCTGGTTAGATGTCCAAACCATTAATTGATTCTTTGACGTTCTGTGAATTTTATTACTGGTTGTGGTATTCCAGTTTGTAGACGTATGGTTTCGTTTCTTATGCGGTCTCTTCTGACTTCTGGTGATGTGTAGTAACTTTTGGATGCCTCTCTATATATCCACAACTCTCTATATTATAACACCACAAGTATAAAAAAGCATTTTAAACGACCCATTACACCCCTTTTCCCCGCAAATTGTCAGACCACAAAGCGGCAGATATATACCTCTAAAAACAAAGAAAGGGAGATGTAAAAGTTTTTACCATCTAGCATAAGGCTACTGTCAGAATAAGCATCAATGTGTATTGCTCTTTACAGTCATGTATCTGACCTATAAAAATATCCCTCTAAAGGTCTTTCGATTAAATTCCTGCATGTGGTTGAATGACGCATCTGATGTAACATGTTTTGTCAGCTCTACTTTTTTTTATATATATATGAATTTTAATGAGAGTAATATAATATAATTAATTCTTTTTACGTATACCTGCATGTGTTTTTACGGTCCTGTACAGCCAAGAAAAATTTCCTTCTGGGATAATAAAGTAGGGCCTATTATCTTCTCTTATAAATTTTATCTTAACGACATTTTTTTGGGTCTCGGCGATGTTGTTTTCTAGAGGCTGCACTGTATTGTGAGATCTACGATTTAAAAAAAAAAAAAAAAAAAAAAAAATATATATCACGTTTATAAGTATGCCAGTGTAAAGACAACAACACAAACAACTGTCACAGCACTGTGCGTGTAGCTCTAACTTGTAATGTACAACAACACAAACAACTGTCACAGCACTGTACGTGTAGCTCTAACTTGTAATGTACAACAACACAAACAACTGTCACAGCACTGTACGTGTAGCTCTAACTTGTAATGGTAAGAGACAACAACACAAACAACTGTCACGGCACTGTGCGTGTAGCTCTAACTTGTAATGTTAAAAGAGACAACAACACAAACAACTGTCACAGCACTGTGCGTGTAGCTCTAACTTGTAATGTTAAAAGAGACAACAACACAAACAACTGTCACAGCACTGTGCGTGTAGCTCTAACTTGTAATGTTAAAAGAGACAACAACATGAGAAAACACACAAGTTTTAAAATCTTTTACTACACAAATTTCAGTGCAAAAACGTCAAGCCAGGTTTCTGCCTTGCGTAGAGTACAACAGAAATGTACATTCTTCCCCTTCTACAGGACCCAGACAAGTAGATCAACAATCTCAAAGTTGTTAACACAGTACTCTGAACCATTAAATTGGAATTCAAAATGTGGCCTATAATTTTTTTTAAAAACAACAACTGTTGTTATTACTGTAATTTTAAAAGACAACCACCCAGCACACATAAAAACACAAACAGGTTTAGCATAAACATGTGTATCAATTTCTAATTTCCACAAGATAAAAACCGCAGTAGTCAGTGTAAAATAAATGCCGTACCTGGCTACACTATCCCATGGTGCAGTTACTTAGTCCACCATTGAGGACAAAATAATCAACTAACAACTTGCTTCAACTTCAACTTTTGCTCTTGAGTATCAAACACAGAACTGCAGCTCTCTGACTCTTCTTAGTTTAGTTTTAGAAAGAGTTTTACAGCACTTGCAACACAATAAGGTCATATAAGTGCCGAAGATTAGAGGTGTTACAAGTAAGAGAGTACTAACAAACACAAAATAGAATGAGGGGAGATAAGGACGATAGATGTTTGATAGGAAAGGAGCAAACCACACCGGAGCACTCGTCAACCACTCACTAACTTGCTTCAACTTCAACTTTTGCTCTTGAGTATCAAACACAGAACAGCAGCTCTCTGACTCTCATACCTTGTTATATGAGTATGGTAACATAAATAAAGACCCAGAGGGAAAGGTAGGCCTACATTATATTTGAATGCTCCGACGCAAACAATATTGTTTAGGAACAGCTTCACTTTTGTACACATATAAATTATTATATATCTGAAAATGTACATTACGCTTCCCATTCTTCACAACATACTTCTAATTCTATTGACTTACACATACACAGCATTACCTTACAATCACTCAAAAAACAGTTTTTTGATCATTTCCCCTCACACAAGCTACTGGGGACAAACCATGATAAAAAGCAGGTGTCAATCTGATCAAAGACAAGAAGACAAAGACATGAATCAAAAGAGGGTAAAGAAAAAAAAGCAAAACAAGAAAACTTTACAACAAAAATTGTTATCTCCCTAGATCTAGATAGATCATCATATGACACATCACGTAATTCATCAATCATACACAAACTTTGAAAAAAGTCTCTATTTCAAGTGTAACCTAAGTTATATTACAAAACTGAAATTAATTCATCTTCAGAGTCAGAGCAAGGCTAAACTGAACAAATCTTTTACCGCCACCTAAGGCTCAATCAACAAGGAAGGAAGTGCTCTGTGGGTAGCTCAACCACAACATAAACAATGCACAAAGCTAAACACTATCAGTGAGTAGTTCTTTCTAAAAAGCTAAACACTATCAGTGAGTAGTTCTTTCTAAAAAGCTAAACACTATCAGTGAGTAGTTCTTTCTAAAAAGCTAAACACTATCAGTGAGTAGTTCTTTCTAAAAAGCTAAACACTATCAGTGAGTAGTTCTTTCTAAAAAGCTAAACACTATCAGTGAGTAGTTTTTTCTAAAAAGCTAAACACTATCAGTGAGTAGTTCTTTCTAAAAAGCTAAACACTATCAGTGAGTAGTTCTTTCTAAAAAGCTAAACACTATCAGTGAGTAGTTCTTTCTAAAAAGCTAAACACTATCAGTGAGTAGTTCTTTCTAAAAAGCTAAACACTATCAGTGAGTAGTTCTTTCTAAAAAGCTAAACACTATCAGTGAGTAGTTCTTTCTAAAAAGCTAAACACTATCAGTGAGTAGTTCTTTCTAAAAAGCTAAACACTATCAGTGAGTAGTTCTTTCTAAAAATGAGTAGTTCTTTCTAAAAAGCTAAACACTATCAGCATGTAGTTTTTTCAAGACCCAGACCAACCATTCGAGGAAATAAAAAAATCAGGATCTCCTGGGGAAAAAAATCGGGACCAACGACAAACCACCAGGGTGACTGCCAAGCCGACTTTAAAATTTACCATGAGTGTCCATAAATATATGAAGGCAGAGTTAGTTTTTAGAAAAATCTGGTGCAACAGAAGGAATAAAAAAATCGGGATACACGCGAATGAAATCGGGATGCTTGAGATTTGGGGCAAAAAAATTGTCCCGATTAAATCGGGATGAGTAGCAGGTCTGAAGACCCTTTGCGAAAGTCTCTGAGGAATTTTATTTTTAGCCATTGTCAACACAGATTTACCAGTGACGTCTTTAAAAATACAGCAAGTCTTCTAACCTCCCCCTTACCCA